TTTTCCTCTCCGCATCGTCCTTTCCTCGCCTCGCCTTGCCTCCCGCTCGCTCGTAATGTAATTTCTCGACTCCCCAGCGATCCAGCGCGGAAGAATATCGAACTCCTTCTAACAGGTGGGCGAAGTGGCCCGTGAATCGCGCGGGAAAACAGCGCGTGATGTTGGGCAGTGTCGTCTGCACAAAATTCGAAGAGCGAAAATCGAATTCCTGATTGATTTTAGACTTCAGAATAAACACAGGCTAGGCTGAGATTTGATTTCTGCCGCATTTCCTGACGGGCTTAGATCCCGGGTAAGCTGTCAAATTTAGTAATTAGCTGAGAGAAAGGCAGGATTTTCATGAGCAGAATAGGAAGACCTCAGAAAATAGCTTTACATACTCACCCCCTTCTTTTTTATAGTCTAAGGTCATTTCCGGAACAAACACAATAAACTACGAGTTTTCGTGTTCTTTTGCCCATATCTATATTTTTTGGGGAAGGAAAATCATATCTTTTGACTCAATCATCATTTTAGACAATTATTTATCACCTTCCACCATTCATTACGATTGTTTTCTATCCTGCCGCTGCCACCATAATAACAGATAAATTACTAGTTATTTACGAACGGTGTTCATGACTTGGTATAGTCATCTTCTAAGTATTTTATTCAGGTATATCCTTCTGACAATTGCAACCTTGTTGCATTTATCAATGCATTCACCATATGATGTTTTGATATAAAATACTGCGTGCTCTTGAATTTTTCTGCTTTGCATTCGAATAATTTTATTCATCGATGGGCGGCATCCAACCTCGATATAACAATATAGCAAAACAAGAAAAGACGTGAAAAGGGCATGCAGTCACGAAAGCTCGGGGTGACAAGAATGTCCACTGATATCACGGGGTGCAGGAGACGGATTTCAAAGGCATCGCCCTTTAAAGGTACTATGTCCCATTTGCAGGCAAAAAAAAATGAAAAGGTTAAATTCCAATGGCATTTGAAAGATAATACTAATTTAGAACTCCCCTTTAAAAAAGGGAGATTGAAAATATCTTTAAGTGGGAAAATAACGAATATTAGTGTCAAATCGACTTAGAAGCTACATTGTGTGTGTAATTGGGTTTTTACAGACGTGTATCAATCAGATATGATTATTTACGTCTGGGGACCGACCTTTAACGTCACCATCCGAAAGACGTGACTCAGTTTCGAACCTGCGTCCTCTGCTGAATCAGTTTGTAACTTCCACAGTTAGCTGGATTACAGGCGCACGCCACAACGCCTATAAGTAATAGTCTTGATTTTCAGACCATTGTACCGCATGGTCGTACGTTTTATGCTGTGCAAAGATTCAATCAGTTTAATTTTGGCCATTACAAGAAGTGGGTTATTGATGTAGACAAATCCTTTACAGCTCATTTTATGTATGTTATTACCAAAGAAGAAAAAAAGCCAGTCAGTCACTCAATAGTGTCTGACAGTAAAGTCTAGCAATCAAACAGGTTTCCTTGCATAATTTGAATATTAGGACACTGCTAACGTTTAAATTTTACAGATAGGACATACATGACATATTCATAATTCCTGCAAAGTTCTACAGAATTTGAGGTTGGCTGCAAAAGGGACATTGTACCTTTAAAGGAAGGGGAAATACGAAGGCTCTGCTTTTTTCTGGATACGCAACTGATCAGATGTGAAGCGAGAAAGGAGAAAGGAGTCACAAACTTTATGGTCATTTATTTAATCGCAGGTCTGTTTTGTTAGGTCATTTGTAACAGAATTATACCTGAACTCTAGAACTCAAACATGCCAGATGTATTACTTTTACTTTGAAATCCGTCTTGACACGATCTTTAGATTACATGTATTTGACATTAGTATGCATACAAATACGGATAAATAATTAAAAGTTAGCCAATTATCCGGGCCCATTATGTTGGCTACTTCCGTCACACAAAGAGTTTGATATAACTCATCGATAACCTTTCAGGTTTAAAACTTCAATTTTGTTTTGTATGCACATCATTGATATAGATTCTTGAATAGTTTGCAGAAAATCGCATTTACCGTTATTATGGGGAATTGCGATGCTCGATATTTCGTCTACATATCGCGATAGAGTCGTCAAAAACAATTATCTTTCGAATTTATGGGAAAAGAAGTGGACGTGAATTTGATATCTAAATTTTCGGATGCATTCCCACGAGAAAATAAGTCATCCAACTCGACAAGACGTCAAAACAAAGTCAGATTTTATGATTCAAAAGAAGACTAAACGTCAGAGCTGAAGACGAGAAGGGGTTTAGTTTTCTAGTCGGTATCAAAATACTCCAATAATAGATGGCAGCCGATTGCTCGTGTTAATGTCCCCTGGCTAAAAGGCAACACACAACCGGTTGGTGCTCGATTAATTAAAGATTTTCTTTCTCCGACCGCGTCAGCGCGTGAAATTCGAGCAAAGGATCTTTCACGGATTAAAGCAGACATCTTGCCCGGTGTCCAAACATCCCGCGCTATGCTTACCTTTACGGCAACCCAAATCAGCACACCTCACGCGAGATAATTTTTCGCTGCTAGAAGTTAATGAATTATGAAGCACCACGCGTGCCGAACGGTGTGGTGTTTCGCAGGCGTTGTGGCAATCCATAAAACCTTCCGGTAAGTCTGATTTTTCGAGCTCTCGCTCCGAGAACATGATGTACGATAGAGGGACGGGTGAGGGTAAGGTGAAAGCGGAGTATGATGGGGAGAGACGGAGAAAGAGACACAGAGAGAGAGAGAGAGAGAGAGGGTGTAGCTAAATAGAGAGAAGGGGGTTGGGGGAAATAGAGGGTAGAGAGAATGATATTGAGGGACACAGATGAGAAAAAGAGAGGGAGAGAGAGAGAGAGAGAGAACAAAAGAGAGATCTATAAAGAGAGAGTGAGAGAGAGAGAGAAAGAAAGAAAGAGAGAAAGAAAGAAAAAAGAAGGGACAAGATGAAAACATTACATTAATTACCCACTCCTAATCAGTAGTCTTATAAATTTGAAACAGATACCCCTCCCCCATGATGCCAGTCCCCCATTACAGCCTGGGTTCACGCTTCTTCACTCTGCCTCGTAATACTATAACTGTTATGTTTGTTTGTTTTACCTGACTGCTAAGAAATCATGAGTATGCTTATAAGTTAGGCAACCAGGGGACCGACGGCTTTAAGCTATCTCCGACGGACTTGATAATGAAAATTCATGCCCTACCAAAAGGGCACTAGCGCATCGACTTGGTTCCGAACCCGGGACCTCCCGGTTACGAGACCACTGCTGTACCACTCCTCGATGTTACCTCCCCTTACCTTATCTTCAAGGTCTACCTTGTTATCAAAGGAGAGCGATACACAGTCAAACAATTGTATTAACATTTGTTTAATCTAGATCTGGTTATTCGTCAAGTTTCTAAGGTCAAGTTCACAAGCTTTGTTCCTTCTACATTAAGCAGACAGAATACCTCGCACATAGTTATAAACCACTAAGCGCGGAGGTTTCACATTTCTCAAAAAGGCTACTCTTTTGGATTACAGGTAAGCATCTTCATTATTACAGGCAATGACTTGTCTTCTTACTGATTATTTGCAGAACAACGTGTTGTATGTTATTGTTTGTTTCGATCCCTTGTAATTTTATGGTAATGATTGTTCCGTGTACTTCCTATGAGGGTGTGCTGTTTGATCAATGACCTTGTAAATGGTTTGACCTTCTCGCAGTTTTAATAATATATGTCTGTCTCTCTGTCTCTTCTCTCTGTATCTCTCTCTCCCTCTCACTTTCTCTATTTCTCTCTCTCTCTCTCTCTCTCTCTCTCTCTCTCTCTCTCTCCAGTCTTGTAATCACAATTGCATACAACATTAGAGTTTGGTATAAAACTGTCTTCTCGATAGACCTTAGAACTAACTTTTATAGTTACTATCATTTTAGATCTTACATTCAAAATTAATGTGCTGTACGACCACAAAGAGGGGTAGCCTATGCCAAACAGGTAACTATGGATGCCATATCCCAGACCCCCTTCTGATTAACTTGATATGTAATGATCACCATAACTTTCGTTTCTTAAACTTTAGGTGTACCACCCCTTTACTCCCCCCCCCCCAACATACTCGCCCAGATCATTCTGACAATCTGTTTTGCTGTTGCCAAGCGCTTTACTTCCAAGTAATTTTCTAGTCTATTAACTATCAGTTAAATATTCGTTATGCTACACGAACCAGTTTGGGTCAAATTAATGTAAACGAACTGATGACAAAATAGATTGATAATTATCATCATGTGATTCATAGTATTGCATTGCTGCAGCATTTCTAGCTTGTTCTCACGGAAGTCGTTTTGGAATTGATGCGTACATCACCTTTATACGACATGCCATTTCCTTCCTCATTTTTTATATGCATGTGTAAAAATGCTGAAGATTAAAATCCTTTAAAGATTCGCTGCGGAACCTCTGCCATTTTTCGGGAAAATAATTATGTTTAGTATTCTTTCAAAAGATTCGTCCATTATTGATCGAGGATGTGAGTGTTTTAACTCACAATTCACAGATGAGGTGTTACATAAATAAATTGGTCAATATAAAATAAATACCATCAAGAGTTTCTTGGTTAAAACCGACCGTCATTTTGATTACATTTAGACCAACTAGAGAAAGCACGAAAATTCATTTTCACCAAAAAAAGCCAAGACCGACTTTGGTTAATATCTTTAGAATTTTAGGAAACTCAAATGTTAAACCAACATTCAAAAGGTCCCAGGAGTGTCAACATTTTGGAATTGGTAGATTTACCCTTTTAACGCGCTGGATTTAATCATCCAGCTTGTTAAATTAGAAGTGTCGATCTACTTTTATGAAAATGTCACACCTCAGCCCTTCTAAGATCGATTGATGGTGATTTGACGCAATAGTTAAGTTAGAGTGCCATGGTTAGAAAGGGAGAGATGGAAATATATATATTCATATAATTCGTCCTTTTTAGAGCAAAACCTTAAGGACCGCACGGAGGGCGGAATATCGGCACAAGATGAGATTGTCTACTGCGATGTTTGTCCTGGTGGGCGGGGTCTATTTGGGCATCACCCTCTACGTTCCCATGCCAACCGATATGGACGCCAAGATGGAGTTCTACTTGAAGACCATTGGATTTAAATTCAGCAAGTTAATTGTAAGTTTTGAAAGCTGTAATCATTGATAATTTTAGGTCTTAGTTTAAAGCTTTTCAAACGGTAATTCAGTAGTTATATGGGAATGTAGCACAATCAAATATGTGTACCCTACCACGGAAGGAAAACATCGTACTAGCATAACAAAATTGTAGTGGTCTCTCTATGTTTGGAGCCGTAAGGGCGTTAACTGTATGTAAGAAACATTATTTAACGCCCTTCTGGCTTCAAATAGTCTTTTGTTTCCCCTTGAATGCAACAATAACAATGATCGCTGACAATGTGACCTCTTCTTGGCGTGAAAACTAAAACTGTGATTTACCTCATCTTTATATCAGATTACTTCAATACCAAGTGTGAGTCTTGATCCACTTCCTTTTTGGAAACTTAGAATCAAGAACAGAGTCATTCTTGATTATGAATTTCACAAATTACAAAACAATTTGGTGTTATTTCATAAGATATGGTCGTACAATAATGTACTCTTTCTTTCAGATGATATTGATCTCACATGGTTGATTTAATTGTTGTTTGTGATAAGTTTGTCTTGAGAAGATGCTCATAGTTGGAAGTTATGAATTCCCATAATTTAATCGTTTTGAAACACTCTATGGATGTGTAATCATTTGTAATCAGTGTTTAGTACAATTTATGTTTTTTCTCAATTTCTACCGTCGAAATTATTGTTTTTTTATGAATTGTTTAATGGTTACTTTCTCATGTATTACGTACTACTTGTTGTTGATTATTGGTATATGATTCACAAACACTTATTATATTAAGTGCATCACTGTTATTTTTTTTATCTGTTTTAATTATTATATGTATTGTAAATAAAGTTTTACTTTCAAAAGTAAAAAAAAAAGTCTTCTTCTTCTTCTTCTTCTACCTCTTCTTCTTCTTCTTCTTCTTCTTCTTCTTCTTCTTCTTCTTCTTCTTCTTCTTCTTCTTCTTCTACTTCTTCTTCTTCTTCTTCTTCTTCTTCTTCTTCTTCTTCTTCTTCTTCTTCTACTTCTACTTCTTAGTCGTCTTCTTCTCTCGTTTCCCCGTTAACATTAAATTATTCTTTGCATCAATATATTCTTCTCCTTATTTCATGGTTGTATTGTAACCGTGACTGTCTTATCTTCCTTTTCCTATCTTTATTTTTCCAAGAAAATTCTCTCTAATGTCTTCTTGTTTTCATTAATCTAATCTATTGTGATACATTTTACTTTTTTTAAATCTTCGTTAAAGATGTACCTGGAATACCTAGTTCGCGGGGGCTCTACCATCGATTTTTCTGTTGTTCAAAATATCATGATATGTATTACCACAGTCTATCGAGTAGGAGCAGCTTTGACCCGCAATTCAGAGGGGTCAAAGTTCACATTAGATGACACGACCTTTGACGGGGTCAGAGTACTTTTTTACCAGCGCACCGATGGCAGGCAAGAGAATCGACCGGCTTTTATCTTTCTACATGGGGGCGGTCTTACTATTGGCAGTGTCGGTGAGTGGCAAAAATACATAATTGAGAAGAGTTGTTTAACTGTTGTGTATGACATTTTGTTACGTATTTTGAGTTTTTGCTTGCTTTAATGACAAAGATAGCTCTTGACAACCTCAACGGGTCATAAGAACTTGATCCGGCCTATCAACACAGTTCATGCCCGTTCCCCAACCCCACTCCGGGGTCGGAGGGACCGCATTCGTATTCCCAAAATCTCCGGTAAAGTGGTACTTTTTCACACCGAAGATAGGGGGTGCTTCAAAGGTAGTGAACAAGTATACGCGTACCCTAGGTAACACTGAGTGGGGGGGGGGGGGGGGGGGGGGGGGGGAGAGGGGGAGGGGGGGGGGGGGGTTCATGCAATTCATACCCTGTCATGCAGTCCAAAACTGCTACAAAGTCATGTATATGGATTCCAATCGCTTTTTCCCAAAGTTATGTGTTTTGAACATACTTGTTGTTTTCTTTGTCGTTTCGATCCCTGATCATTTCTTTGTATATGCCTATATAACTTTTATATTTTACCATGCAGTTCAATAATATTTCCCCTTCCTCGCATCACTCTCGATTTCTCTGACTATATTATAATTATGAATAACGTTACAACGAAAATGTTTAATTAGGCATAATTCTTCTCTTTAATGTGTGTATGTTTTATCTTGTTTAAGTTGTTCTTTTGTGTATACTGCAGATTTGTTGTATAATTTGATTCCATCTTTCGCACAAGTGTGCCTTGAGCATTTGATTACAAGTTGATCTGGTGCCTTATAAATCTTATATATTGATATTGATGTCATCCTATCTTCATTTTGATCTCTCTCTCTCTCTCTCTCTCTCTCTCTCTCTCTCTCTCTCTCTCTCTCTCTCTCTCAATACCTCTCTTCCCTGTTGTGTATAGATATATACGAGATGGTAACCGATGACATTGCAGGGCACCTCGATGGCATGGTTGTGATATCTGTGGAGTAAGTTCCTTTATGATGATTTATCAGACAATAATTAATGAAAGTTTATTAAGTTTTGTGTCACTGAAATGTAATTTGATTTGTATGTTGCAGAAGAAAATATATTCAATTCAATTTGAAGAAAAAAATATGAGTGGTCAGTTTGATGTAAAATTTATCTTTTTTTAAATTGTACTAATAAGGCGTTTTTAATTTATTTATTTAGAGGCAAGTTTGAATTTGAATTGTTTACCGTGGAAAAGAAAGTGGCCTGGTGATTGATTTGTGGATCAAACTTGATCTATATCAGTTGATTGCAAACTGATACAGATCACAGTATCAAAGAGAGATAGGACACATGCTTCGGCGGTGAATTTACTACTCTAACTAGATTCCTACTTTCAATCCTGGATCAAACACTGCATCAAACCCTAACCCTAGACCTAACATGAAAAGGCAATGACAACTCTAATCCTAACCCTTTATCTTTACAAAATATAAACCGGGGCAAAGGTTGCATGAGGAATAGTTGGATCACCGAACAAATTAAAAAATATTATTGTTCTTAAACCCCATTAAGAACGATCGAGCTAATATTTCAAGTTAACAATGTTTCTACTTATAAGACTGTGTTTTTGTGAACCAGCAAGCTATCTGTTACTTTGGTTCAGTTATCGCCTGGCACCGGAACATCCCTTTCCAGCGGCCTACGACGACGGGCTAGCCGTTACGAAATGGTTGATGAGACACGCCGACGTCTATGGCGTTGATGCCACTCGCATTGCCTTAGGAGGTGATAGCGCCGGTGCCTACCTGACGGCCGCGATCGTCCAGGCAATCCACGACAATCCGACTCTGCCCAACGTTCGTCTCCAAGTCCATCTCTTCCCGTGGTTGCAGCACTTCGACTACCAGACACCGTCCTACCAGAAGAACGCCCATATCTTCGGTGAGAGAACCTGGGTCGAGAACACCATCCCCGGGTTCTGCTTCAGCGCGTACTTTAACGGAGTCCTCAACGACTCCCTAGTTGAGCAGATGACGACAAACAACCACACCTCTGCGGCCTTTAAGAACTCTGCGCTTTACTGGAAGACCTTCAATCATTCTCTGATACCAAAGGATTTCCGTGACCCCGCCTACTACACCCCACCCCAATCAAGTGACTTCGGCAACGAGGAAATCTGGAATGAACTCAAAGACGTCGTTCTTGATACTCGGTTCTCGCCGATCCTTCGCGAGGACATGCGAGGATTACCGAAGGCCTACATCGCCACTTGCGGCTACGATCCTATACGGGACGATGGAATATTTTACTTCCATCGTTTAAAGGATGCCGGAGTTGATGTGTTTTGGGTGGATTATGACGCGGCCTTTCATAGTCTAGATTGGTACTATCCATTGTATTCGGAAACTGGGAAACAACTGCAGAGAGGGTTTATAAATTTCATCAAAGATAATATTTGAATTTGTGCCTGGTTTTTTATCAGTGAAAAAATTATACAATAGAGTAAAAGATGTTAATTATCGCTCATGCTTTGGAATTTTCATACCTTCATTCAGCTTTGTTTGATTGAACATTTTATTACACTTAATTTAAAATGTACGATCTATTCTTTTTGAACGAGCCATATACAGTTGGCCTTCATGAATGACATCGTTTACTCTGAAGAATCCAATTCTTCCACTTCTAGATGCATTACATTTTCATAGCGGAGGTGTTTATTTTCTCCCGAAATAACACCTTTTACGCTTTTGGGATGATTTGTTTTATTTCATTAGTGTTATCGTTTGGTTGCTTTAGTTTGCTTGTTTATTTTTTATCGGATCTAAGTGAGTAGGCCATTTTAATCATGGGCCTACTGTAACTGATATTTTCAGCTGGGGGAATTTAAATGTATTTTTATAGTCACTGTGTATTTGTTAGGTGCGCTTTTTTTAATCGCCTTTTAGTGAAAATAACTGTTCAGACAAAAAGAAATATGTTTTGGTATCGTCAATTAAAGTTTTGAAGATTTAAAACTGTTTAAATTTACATTTTGCTAACTAAATACGGAAATAGGTAACAATGTGCAATAAATAAACCACAGACTTGATGTTGTCAAACAAATGGAGAATTGCGTGCCATTGGAGAAATAATAATTAATAGTTTGAGGTATATTTATTACGCCAAGTGCAAAAGTGCCTGCTTTTATTTTTGTGTAAGATGATCAAAAGAGAAGAAGGAATAGGGAGCTTAAAGTGGAGAGAAAGAGAGAGAGAGAGAGAGAGAGAGAGAGAGAGAGAGAGAGAGAGAGATGGGAGAGAGAAAGAGAGGGAGAGAAGATGAGAGAGAGAGAGAGAGAGAAGGGAGGAAAGAGGGACAGCGAATAATATAGGCGTAGATA